CGGCCTGTGCCCTGGGCGCAGAGCCCGGGCCACTCACACCCCCGCTGCACGAGCCAAGTGGCGCCACAGCAGCTACAGAAATGTTCCCCGTAAACACATGCAAGCGGACAGGAGGCGAAGGGACCGGGGCAGGAGACATTCCCTCAGTTCCGAGGGCACCTCGGGCGGCTGTGATGATGGATGGGTGCTGCCTGGAAAGCCCGCACGCCTGTGACACACCTGTGCCCACGCAGAGACACCGTGGTTCACACACAGCACTGCCTCCCACGTGCAGCCAGAGAGACGGAGCACTGACCCCTCCTTTAGCGACCTGTTCTAACCCCTCCTGCAGCTCCGTGCAGCCACCGGCTTCTCATGGCGCCGCCCCTGGGGAGGAGCATCAGAACACAGGCTTTGCAAACACGGACAGTCATTTAAGGGGCCCTTACCCACACGCTGCCGCAAACAGTGGCGTTTTCTCCCTGCGTCCACCTGCCTTCCCTGTCCTCAGGCTCCCCAAGGGGAGGGGAGCTTTCCTTTCCCCGGCTGTGAATCGGGGAGCCCAGGGCAGCAGGCCCATGGCTGTGGGCGGCACGGCCCGGTCTCCGAGTCTCCAGACTCTGCGGCCCCCTCACCCCGACTCATCATATGACCCGCTGTCCCTGGCTTCCTTCCCAGGCCCCAGTTTCCTACCGTCTCCACTCACCTCACAGCTTCCCAAGGGCACCACAGTCCCCCGCCCCCACCCCCCCACATCCCATCTTGTACAGAGACACAGAGACCCGGCTTAGAAACTCGAAGCTGCACCATCCGTGTCACAATCTGAACAGCAGGGGCTCCGGGTACTTCCCCGCAGCGAGGAGTAGGAGGGTGGGTGGGGAAGGGCAGAGGACACTGTATTTGAGTCAGAAAGGCCTGCGTTCTAATTCCGCCTATGACAGTGGTCAGTGACTTAACCCTAAGCGCTTCAGCTTCTTTTAAAAACTATATGTTTATATTGATTCCCGAGAGGAAGGGAGAGGGAGAGATGGGAACATCAATGATGGGAGAGAATCATGGATGGGCTGCCTCCCGCATGCCCCACACTGGGGATCGAGCCTGCAGCCCAGGCCTGGGCCCTGACCAGGAATCGAACCCCGACCTCCTGGGTCATAGGGCTGAGCCACGCCGGCCAGGCTCGTGGTCTCTTATGACACCAAACACGGACTTGCTGTGGGACCAGCGCTGTCACTCCACACTCGGGAGCAAGGAAAACGTCCACGCAGAGACCCCGGCAGGACTGCTTCTAGCAGCTTCCCTCTTAATCACTCGAAACTGGAAGCAGCCCAGACGTCCCCCACAAATGCCTCGGGTGCCCCTACGCGGTGGGCGGGATCCCGGCGAGAGGAACTGAGCTTCCCCCACGGCGGCAGCGGCAGGGGCATGGCTGTCAGAGCACCGGGCACAGTGACAGAAGCCAGGCGCCCGGCCGCATGCCGCTGATGCCTTGCGGCTGACGTCCTGGAAAAGCATGCTGTCAGGGCAGAGCACAGACCAGGCCCCTGAGGGGCTGGGGAGGGAGGGGGGCTACAGGGAGCCAGAGGAGCCTGGGGCGACTGGAACATTCCCTGCCTCCACGCGGTGGTGACACAGGGCCTAGCTTTGTCAAAACCCAATTGTCTACCTAAAAAGAGGGGCTTTTACTGCATATAAACTATATCCCCATAAACCTTTCTCTTAAAAGTAAACCAAATGTTCAAGAGAACCTTCTAGAACATGTAAATAATTATAGCTCACGCAAACAGCAGCCCCACCCCCGTCTCTGTGAAAAGGAATGTCCCTGTCTGGGCTTTGGTTTCAAACAGGAAGTCTTAATTGTTTATTTCCCAGATTTCCAAGCGAGATCGCTCCTAGTCCAGTAGCTGTTGAAAATGTACATGCAGCCCTGGCCGCTTTGGCTCAGTGGGTAGAGCGTCGGCCTGCGGACTAAAGGGGCCTGGGTTCGATTCCGGACAAGGGCATGTACCTGGGTTGTGGGCACATCCCCAGTAGGGGGCGTGCAAGAGGCAGCTGATGGATGTTTCTCTCTCATGGATGTTTCTAACTCTCTATCCTTCTCCTTTCCTCTCTGTAAAAAATCAATAAAATATATTTAATAAAGAAATGAATGAATAAAATGCAGGTGGGTTAGCCTGCCCCTTGTAGGGTTTTCAGGAAGAACCAAGAATTCAAGGTCAAGCAACCCTCTGGCTTCTCGCTTCGCCAGCAGACGGCGGACTCACCGCCAGCATCACGTCAGTGACCGTCAGAAAGTGTAGCGTTACTTTTGAGCCGTCGTATCTTTAAGAGACAGCGGTTAATAAACAGATCCACGGGAATGCAGCACAGGAGCCGTCCACGAACACGCAGGACTGCCCTTCACATCCCCCGCCCCCAAGGCGGCGTGGAACAGTCACTGTCAGGGAGCCTCCACCTTCTGGTAATCACTCCCGAGAAGGTGCGAGCACATGAAACCACGTGAGGCCAGGATCCTACACACTGTCCTTCACCCACTAGGTGCCTGAGCCCTTGTCGTGCACAGAGTGTAAGGCATCTTCCCGCCATTTCTGTTGCCTCAGATTCTCGGCAGCTACAACCGCGGGAACCTGAGCACCGAGAAGTTCGTGGAGGAGATCAGGTCCATCGCCAGCGCGCCCACCGAGAAGCACTTCTTCAACGTGTCGGACGAGCTGGCCCTGGTCACCATCGTGGAGGCGCTGGGAGAGAGGATCTTCGCCCTGGAAGGTGGGCGTGGGGTGGGTCCGTGTCATTCCCGCCGCGTGGCTGGGGGGTCACTGTGGACAGTGGCCGGCGTGGGACAGTGACCCTTCCTGTAGTCTGACCTTGAGTCTGACCTTGCCTGGGTGGCAGTGACTGGGGGCTGGCTGGGTGAGGACACGTGGGGTGGGCGTGAGAGCCATGAGGACGGCGGCCTGTGGGGACGTTCAGGAGCAAACATGTGCCCGCGCGGCCTGTCTCTTTCCTGTGGCCCAGGTTCAGGGAGGGCGACGTGGGCCGGGTGTCATTTTTCGGGTTTGTTTCCTGTTGGGGGCGAGGGACCTGTCCTCAGGCGGTGGCTTCCATGTTCATTCCCACCTCCTGTCCTGCTCCCGCCCGCTGTGAGGTCTCCATGGCGCCCCTGTCCCAGGGCAGCGAGACAGCAGTTCACACGTGTGTCAAAGTCACGTCACTTCTTCCCAGATTCTTTCTTTGCTTTTTCATGGTGACCGGTGACCGAGGACACTGAGCGTCGCCTTAGGTAGAAGAGGTGGAAGAACAGCTTACGTAGCAGCTAGGTCTCCCTGATGAAAGGACGCCTCCGGGTGGTGGGCAGGCACCCCTTTCCTCCTCGCTCTCGGGGATCGCAGGGCAGAGGGCAGCCCTTCTCACCGAGGACTAGAAACCCAGCGCCCCTCCCTGAGGCTCCCGCTGCGTCTGTGCTGCGGGGACACACGGAGGACTGTTGTCTTTGTACCTTAAACGTGAACGTGGACGTGTGAAAGCACAGTCCTGCTCGGAGCTGGTGATGGGGGCGTCAGATACACTGGGAAGGGGCCCGGCTGTGAAAGGGGCCACTTTGAGCGTCAGGTGACAAGGACAGTGCAGGGGAGGGCCGACAGGGGAGGTTAAAATGAACAGGAAGGCGGGAAAGTGAGGTGGAGCAAAGGCTCTCGAACGCTTCTTGACAGTGACCGTGACGGTAAGTCCAGCTCGCTCTGTGACCGGGACACGCACACCTACACACCTAAAATAAAGCCAGTCTCACCAAGTGGCCCTTACTGCAGGCACCGCGCTCTGGCATGTGCCCATCTCTGCCGTCCCACTCGCTCCTCTTTCAGTTAAAAATAAATAAATGCAGGTGACGACTCACCTGTTGATTTCACGCCTGCACACAGCCAGCCAGTGGCAGGTTCGCTGTGGAGACGGTGGTGCTCCCCAGACCGGCCATCGGGACTGGTCTTCTCTGTCCCCTGTCACCCCGCTCCTTGTGCCTTGAGGAAATCGAACACTGGAACTGCTTTCCAGCCGCAGTCACAGTGGCTTCCGCAGCACGTGGCGGCCCCCCGTCCTGTGGACAAGTCACCTCTCGGGGCTCTGCGCTCGCGGCAGCCACCCCTGTCCCCTCCGCACGGGCTAGGCCACGCGCTGGCGCTCCTCACGGAAACGATGAGGTTTTCCAAGTCCTGTCCGCTTTTAATGGTTCGCTGACAGGCGGCAAGATGTGATAGAAGCAAACCGCAAAGGCCATTTAGAGGACACGTGGCTGAGCTACGTGAGATCGCTAAGCACCGTGCGGTCCCGTGTGTCCCCTGAAGTCAGGAACCGTCACCGAAGACGCAGAGAAATGGAGCCTGTGTCAGGGACCGGGTGGAGGAGGGTCCACTTTCCTGACGTGACATTTCAGGCCGTTTCTGACTGGGGACACCATGCCTCCAAGGTGCTCAGACACCCCCAGAGGCCTCTATAGTAAGAGAGAAATTACTTTACGAGGGACTCCTCAGATCAAAAATGCCTTCCCGTGTAGGCCAGCCGAAGAGGGTTTGGGGCAGCCTGTCCCTGATTCTCTTTCATCGTGAGACCAGAAATGGCGTCAGGTCCTTGCTCACTTGGGGAGTCTGCATTCTCCATAAACATCTACCTTCTGATAGTCAACAGCCATTCTGAAGTCCCTGCCAGCCCTGGGCACCGCCACCTGGTGGGGGGCGGGTGCCAGCAACTCGCCCAATAACATCAGAACGTGGTCTCAGGTCTCCCTTTCCCAGCAGAGCTTGGGAGAAACGCAGACTTCCCCAACCAGAGGCTGCACAGTGGTTAGAGCGGCTACCTCGGCACCTGGCAGCCAGGGAGGCGCTGACAGTGGGAAGTTCAGGGAGGCACCGCGGCCGCTCCCACGATGCCCATCCAGCCGTCTGTCCTCAGATCCAAGCAGAGCAGCAGCCGGGAGAGGGCTGGGAGCAGGCGGGCCTTTGGTGCTGTCCCTGTCACTGGCCTGGCAGATACAGGAGAAAGCACCTCCAAGTACCGGGGGCTAAGGGAAGGCTGCGATCCATTAGGTTACAGTGCATCTCGGTCATGGAGGTGAGAGGGTGTGTATGAGATTAAAATGACCTCTTGGAATTCTTGGTCGATTTTCCCATTGAATCCAGTCCTATAAAAAGGCAATTGCGGGTGGACTTGTGAACAAATTTATGCCAGGAAGTAACGAGGAAATGAGTTTGATTCCACAAATGTGATTATTCTCATGGCTCAATGAAAGGGCAGACTGACATTCTTAAAATATGCGCTATTTTTAACGTCTCCGCGAGGCCCGATAAATCAGTAACTCCCACGGAGAGCCAGTAAGTCCACATTCCCTCAGTCCCCCCGCGGCTGTGGCTGGGGGCTGGGGGGTGTTTTGCGGGTAGCACATTCCTGTGGGGTGCTCGGGACTACCTCTGAGCTGTAGTGAAGAACTTCAACGTGGGCACGGGATCGTGTGTGTGTGTGTGTGTGTGTGTGTGTGTGTGTGTGTGTGAGAGAGAGAGTGTGTGTGTGTGTGTGTGTGTGTGGGAGAGAGAGAGAGAGCGAGAGAGAGAGAGAGAGAGAGAGAGAGAGAGAGGAGAGAGAGAGAATGAGAGAGAGATTGAATGGCATGGGGCCCAGAGCCCTGTCAAAAAGTCCCCTCCTGGTCTGTGAGTGATACTCACAGCCGGAAATTAGAACAAGCACGGGGCCCAGAGCCCTGTCAAAAAGTCCCCTCTTGGTGTGTGAGTGATACTCACAGCCGGAAATTAGAACAAATACAAGCCTAGAATCCCTACCACTTTACCAAACAACGGAATTCTGAGAGGACCTCCATCCAGACATATGGGCGAGGGTGTGAGTGCCATTTCCTCCGCCCTGTAAGGCAGCCGGTGAGTTTGGTCCGATATCTCAGCAGAAATCCCCGGACGAGAGGCCCGGACAGAGCTTCCCACGGCGGCCTCTGGGCTGTAGCCTGTGGACAGAAGCACCATGTGGCGTGTCCGCAGCTGGTGTGTGAGGACAGGGCATGAGTGGAGATGCTGCCACGCCCCGCAAGGGTGCGGAAACCGTGTGCGAGGGTGGGAGGCCCTCTGCCATGTGCCCTGCCCCGGCCCTGCCTGGGCATTCCAGATGGAGAAATGGGGCTGGAAGTGCCTTGAAGGTTGAAGTTCGGTTGGGAAAGACCGGGACGGGGCTCCCTGCAGCTCCGCGGTGCTCAGGGCGTCTCTCTCCCTCCAGCCACCGCCGACCAGGCCGCGGCCTCCTTTGAGATGGAAATGTCGCAGACCGGCTTCAGCGCGCACTACTCCCAGGTATGTCTCCCCTCTTCATAGCTTTCTTCTTCCAAGAAAATAAAAGATAGTTCAAGGATATATTTCAAGAATATGAATTTTTTTTGAGGTTTTCTCCCCAAACCAACACCCAGGCATCAGCACGACAAGCACAGCGTGTGGTTGGTGGCTGAGCGGCTCGCCACATCCTGGTGACATTTCTGATCCACAGGAGACTGGCACTCCAGGCTCTCCCTGGAGAAGCGTGCTCTCTCGCACAGCTCCCTGCGCGGCGCTGACCGCTGTGAATCCGTTCCGCCAGGTCCCCGTTGCGTAGTCCCGCATCCGGCTGTGTGAAATGCCTGATGTACAACATTTGCTGATGCGAGGGGGTGGATCTTTTTCTCAGTGTTAAGCTACTCAAGGGTTCTGCTAGAATTCCACGTTCAAGACCTAGGGTTCTGGGCACCTAGAACAAAGCTTTAGAAATCACATCATTTGTGGTTGATGGAGGGAAAGGCAGCGCGGTCCCTGGAAAGGCCAGCTGACCCCCGATGTGCGGTTGTGTCATCGAACCAGCCAGCCCATCACTGACCCCGAGGATGGAGAGGTGCTCCGGCGGCCGGCCGCACGGCCATGGTGAGGGTTACAGGGCTGATGTGTGGGCAGCCCGAGGAAGGCGCCCATCGCACTGTTGACCTTATTAACCATCGTTTTCTCATCCGGATGTCAGGACTGGGTCATGCTCGGAGCCGTCGGCGCCTACGACTGGAACGGGACGGTCGTCATGCAGAAGGGGAATCAGATCATCATCCCCCAAAACACCACCTTCAATGTGAAGTCTTCCAAAAAGAATGAGCCCCTGGCCTCCTACTTAGGTAAGGTGGGGTGTCATGAGTAGAACGTGATGGCTTGTAGTCATGTTTGTGTGTTTCATCTTCAGCATCGTTTGCTGGTGTTTCTGTTGGCTCACTGACAACGATGCAGAGGTCTCTTCCAAGGGCCGCCGTGTTACGGGACCTGTGGGAGTTCCCGGCCCCGAGCGCCTTCGCCAGAACGCAGACGCGGGAGGCGTGCTTCCTCGGAGGCTGGCGGTGCAGGGGCTGGTATAGGCGGATGTGCATCTTCCGAGGTCTCCGGGTCTCGTACTCTCTTTAACCTCAGGAGGGGCCTTGGGGCCTGGTGGAGCGGAAGTGAGGCAAGAAAAAGAAACCTTGACCCCACTGACATCCCAGAGATCAGATCCTGTTTTATTTCATTGTGAGAAAACCACTCACCATTTACTCTTTTCGCCAATTTCTTTTTAATGTTCTTATAGCTTTTTAAAGAGAGAGAGAGGAAGGGCGAGGGCGAGGGAGAGGGAGAGGGAGAGGGAAAGGGAGAGGGAGGGAGAGAGAGAGAGAGAGAAGAGAAAGAGAAACATTGATGAGAGAGAATCATCGATCAGCTGCCTCCTGCACGACCCCTACTGGGGACCCAGCCCACCATCTGGCACGTGCCCTCTTTGGGGATCAAAACAGTGGCCTCTTGGTTCATGGGTGGATACTCAACCACTGAGCCACACGGACTGGGCTAGCCAATTTTTAAGTGTTTATTGTTGTTGACTATTCATAGTCAAATATCCTCTCTCATTAGTTTTTTTCATGGGCCCTAATTTTGGAAAAGAAACGTTTCGTTTGTGTTGTCAGACAGCGTCTTCTTTAACAGCTCTGCTCCATAAGAGGAATATGGAACTTACACCCAGTGACGCAGCATCTGCTTGTTTTCCGAAGGCTTGTCTGGAATGAGGAGGAGTGTGTCCGGGATGACCTTACTCTGACCGGCACCAGGCAGGGCTGCCCAGGGGACACCTGGGAATGCTTCTATCCTCTAACTGATCTCAGTCAACAGTTGGGAGGGCCTAGGATGAGAAAGGCCTCCAAGGCATCGTTTCCCCGCTCCTATGCACTCAACAAATATTTTGGAAGTCATCTCTCGCCCGAGGCGTGGTTCCTAGGCCTGGGCTGCTGGGTAAAGAACACAGATGCCTCTCCGGGCTCATGGGTTAGCACGTTAGCATTCCTCTCCGATCCTTCTGTCCTGGAGGCGGGTCTGTCCCTGTCCTAGTTTCCTCCTGTTTGCAGAAGAGGGTAGCAAGGTGTTCACTGGTAGGTCCAAGCATCTCCTTTCAGGCACATAGGAAAGCTGTAGAGGCAAGGAAACTCAAAAAGAAAAAAGGCTCGAGGCTTTTAGATAAATAAAATATATAATGGTAATGTTCACGTACGAAACAGTCAAGCCCGTAAAGAATGTTTGTGAGTTTATTTGAGCCAAACTGTCGACAATTGCCGGGAAGCAGATCTCAACATATTGAGATAATGGTCCGGAGAGTGGTGATTTTTCACCTGTTTTTATACATTACCATCCAAGGAGTAGACGGAGGTGGGTTATATGAAACCGCTGGTGATAGATTAGGGCGGTGGGAGAAAGCAAAGGGGTTGGGAGGGACCTCTGAGACTGGATAAAAAGTAAAATGATAGACACTCGCTTCCTTTACTTGGGTGGGTGCAGGACAGTTCACAGTCAACAGTGAACAGGATCACAATAACATGAGGGAGTTCGTGGTCTCTGCCCTGTGCCCTGACACACTGGTTGTACCCTGGGGGTCCGGGCAAAGGGACGTTACCCTGACATTCCAAAGGGGTGTTATCATAGATGCAGAAAGACAATAGGCTCAGTTAAGATCAAAGTTGGTCTTTGTCAGGGAAGATACTGGCCTCAGACATGACTACCCACCACAGGCTGCTTTTTAATTTAGAAAGTTTAATTTCAGACCCTCCCCTGTGGTCACTTGAGGTCTCTGAGTTTGCAAGGCCGCCACGCAGGCCTCCCCTGAGTTAGTCAGGTCAGCATGTGGCCCCTGTTTGTCCACCGTAAGCAGCAGGTAAAATGTGAGTGTTCAAACCCCTTGAGACCATTGAAATGTACGAATAAAGGTCTAGTCTATTTCTGCTCTCTCAAAAGGAGGAGAAAAACAGTCATGCATTGCTCTAAGCCTCACGCATTAGAAAAGAAAATGCCAAACTAAGAGGTGTCGCTAGGAGATGATCCAGAGGATCCAGATCTGGAAACAACCCCCTTCTGCCTGCCCCTCCCCCAAGAACGTGAGGAAAGGACCGTTAGAAAAGAGCGTCTAGCTCTCTGGAGGACTGCGGTGTAAGAGGAGGGAGTTGGGCTTAAAACGCTTGCGGAGCTTTAGCACTAAAGGCGGTCTCAGAGCGCTGACTTTCCAAACTAAGAAACTGAGGAATAGGAAAATCAGGTCACAGCTGCCTGTGGCCGCCGGGAGCTAGGACGGAGGTCTCTGGGTTCCTGCTCCCGTGCTCACCTGCCCCTCCTACTGTGCCTGACGGGGTTGGTCCAGGGGCACGAACAAGCAGGGAGTACCCGAGAGGTGCCAAACCCTGACTCACAAACCGGAAGCCGGATAAATAAGGTGGATCCATCCCTCGGGGAGGAAGCTACATGTCTGGATGAGATGACAGATACTGAGGCGGGCGGTCACGGCTGGTGTGAGACGTCCTGTGCCGTAGGACGGCCGAGGTTCAATAGTGGCTTCTGCAGGGTCCCCACACTCTCAGGTCCTGTGGGACTGTTTCATGGGACTCGGGACTTCTCTACAATCAGTTCATACATATAAGATTTCCTTCAAAATACAGAAGCACCCAGAACGGGAACAGAGGAGAAAATAGCTTTTTTTCCCCTCTGAAATGTTATTCTAAATCTGAAAGGTGGCTTTCAAAACGTTTCCTGGCCTGGGTTACAAATTAGGACGAGTTTGAGCTCATGGCTAGCCTCCGTGTGGATGGCGAGCCGTTAGACCACGGAAACCCTTACTCAGGAAGCAAGAGGCAAAGACTCTGTAAGCATCCATCCTGCGCAGCAGCGAGGAGAACGCTGGCCCTGGGGCTGCTGAGTGTCGCTCAGGGGTGGCCAGGGCCTTCTGGCTGTGGCCCAGGAACTCACCGCCTGAGGCCGGTAGAGCTTAGCAGGTGGGTCTGACGGTGAGAATATCGTCAAGAGCCTCGCCCTCTCCCGCCTCCTCCGCCTCCTCCGCCTCCTCCGCCAGCTTGCTGACTGCTGATCATGGCAGACAGTCCCAGCAAAGGGAGGATGGGAGGCAAATGCATGAGATCCAGACAGACCCCACCGGCTGCCGTTCCCCCACCCGGTGCCAGCACGTCCCCGAGGGGTTAGAGGAGCTGAGGGCGGGACTTAGTCTCTATAAACCACACACAGGGCCTGGCCGTCCACGTCCCTTCCTCTTCAGCCTGTGCTCTTCCTCTTCTCAAAGCAATGCCAGGCGTCCGTGTTTAGCATCACGATCCTTTCATGAAGTCGGGCTTCCCTTGGCCCCCGTCCCCTCCCTCTGCCTTGTCGTTGGCGCCCCTGGCGCACCCACAGCCACTGCCCGCTGGTCTCAGTGCCGTGGGGGGCCCAGCTGGTGGCTCCCGTTGCCAAGTGCGCATCTCAGAGCCGATGAACTGAGTAATCGCTCACTCTGAGCCTCATCGTTGCCAGCCCACTTTTTAAAGTTTCTTTTATGAGTCTGCATTTCGCACTCTGAAAATTACAAAAAAAATCAGTGTATCCTAGAGGCCCTCCTGGCTCCCTCCCTGACGTCTCCTAGCAGAGCAGCGTGGCAAAAACAGCCTGTTCCCACGTCCGTCTTCGCAGTTTATTTATGCATGAACGTGACCCCTAAGTTTTGTTTTTAAGCAATCCCCTGGTTAGCAACGCAGAAATATGACACATGACATGTTTGCAAAAGAATCGTCTACTGTGTGTCATAATTTTTAAAAGCTCAAAGGCAGATTAAGAAATGAGAATGTGAGAAAAATGTTCAGGAGGAAAACAGGCCTGAGAAATGGTGTTTCTGTAGGACTTGTAAGAATAAAACATAGTTTAGTATAGTGATGGCGAACCTTTTGAGCTCGGCGTGTCAGCATTTTCAAAAACCCTAACTTAACTGGTGCCGTGTCACATATAGAAATTTTTTGGTATTTGCAACCATAGTAAAACAAAGACTTATCTTTTTGATATTTATTTTATATATTTAAATGCCATTTAACAAAGAAAAATCAACCAAAAAAAATGAGTTCGCGTGTCACCTCTGACACGTGTGTCATAGGTTCGCCATCACTGGTTTAGTACAAGAATCTCCGCCTCTTTAGAGAGTGGAACGATCGCCCTGTAGTAAAATACTCGGTAAGTACGTTGTCAATGTAATTCTCTCGTAAAATGCTGCCCTGTGGCATTTTCACAAGTCACCCGCTGTCCGGCCCAGTGCTGGGCAGCTCTGGTCATCAGAACATTTCTTCCTTCTGTAGAGTTGAAGTCTGACTGGTCATTTTTCCCGATTGGTTTAACTCTGTTTTCCAAAGACACAAAGAACAAATCTCATTCTTTGCTCGAAAATTAATAATAATCTGCCTTAAACATCCAATTTAAAATTCTAAAGGGCATACAAGTCCAATTATAAAGAGGAAAATAATTAAACATGAAAAACTGTCCACATTCACTTTTAATCAAACAAATGCAAATTACAATCCCAGCAAGTTACAATGATTCGATTATGTTTGGCATCTATTCGTTTGCCCACAATTGAAGTAATAGTAATGACACATAGTGTTTGGGAGAGTTTGATGAAACTTCTCTCCTTTGACTGTTCATGGAGTTAATTAGTACAAATTCTCTGGAAATAATTTGCCAAACACTGTAAGAACCATTAAAAACTTGATCCAGGAATCTATTCCTTGAAATTTATCATTAAAAAATGTTAATGAAGAAAGAAATTAAGTTTTAAAAGCTGTCTTTCCAGGCTTAAGTATAATACCAAAAAATTAAACGCACCTAACACCCACTATTCCATCGGGGAAGAATCCTGTGGTAGTAATGCAAGTCTTTATGCTTTAACTCAGAGAAACCAGCTTCAAGCATTTAACGTTACAATTTAAAACATAGACCACAGCACAGAAAAGTCTTGCATTTGCTATGATTCCTACTCCGTGAAACTATTACTTCCTCTAGCTCAGAGACGCATGTCCAGATGTCCAGCGAGGAGCCACACGCATTACAAAGTGGCAAATTGCAATTTGAGGCTCTTTTGTGAATTATTTTTCTCTTTTCCTGTCATCATTGTTATGTTATTTGTGCCTTTAAACGGTGGGAAATGGAGGGGGGGGACACCGTTAGAGGACAAAGGTGCTTCGAGCATCAGAGAGCCGTCCAATTCTACCCACACGGCGTGTCTGCGTGTCAGTGCACATACTGACTGTCAAGTCCGTGTGAAAATGTGCAATGATGCTGCCCGCACTGAGACGGGCCTCGGGGCACTGGGTGCAGACCCGGGGGGAGAGCATGCATCTGGCCTCTCTCTGCCAGGCTACGCGGTGACCTCGGCCACCGTCCCCGGGGGAGACGTGCTGTACATCGCGGGCCAGCCCCGCTACAACCACACCGGGCAGGTCATCGTCTACCGGATGGAGGACGCGGACGTCAGGATCCTGCAGGCGCTCCGGGGAGAGCAGGTGAGCCGGACGTTATGGCTGTAAAGTCCCCCGTCCACACTCCGGGCAGACTCCACTTAGCTGCCTGCTGTCCGCAGCTTCAGGAACACGGGAGCCTCATGCCACCTCAGCTGAGACCGGCCTGGGCTGGGCTCTCGGAGGCGTGGAAAGAGGCTGTGAGTTCGGCCTCGGGGCTGTGTCCCTGGGATGGAGGCGGAGGGGTGAATAGGTGATAGCTGCGGATGCGCGGGTACAAACACATGGACAGAGAGAGGGCGAGCAGCTTAGGAGAAGGCGGCAGGGCACAGACAGGACGTGCGGGAGGTGGAAGGATGGCTTTGAGCGCGAACTGGTGCCGAAGGTCTTTGTGAGAGACAGCGCCTGGGCAGGTGAGGATGTAGACGGTGGCAGGCGCTGTGGGAAGGCCAGGCAGGGAGAGTAGCCCCGTGGTGGGAGGTGCTGAGTGACAGGCACCCCACCAAAGTCCTGGGGGGCCGCTCAGCACGGCTCCCCCAGGGGCCTCCCCGTGCCCGGCACACAGTGCGGCTCAGGTGTCGCGAGCAGCCCCCCCAGCGAGGAGCCAGCGTCCGCCACAGGCCAGGGCCATGGCTGGCGGGTCCCAGCTGGGGCGCAGGCTCCTCTGCAGCCGGCCCAGGCGCACGCAGGAGGCACCAATCCATGCGTTTCTCTCACATCCGTGTTTCTCTCTGTCTCTCCCTCTCTCTTCCACTCTCTCTAAAAAAGAAAAAACAATAAATAAATAAATAAATAAATAAATAAATGAGAGAGAGAACATACTGCTGTAAGGGGCGGGGGGTCCCCGCACCCTGTCCCCCTCAGCGGCTGGGACTAGACCACGCCCTGAGCTGGGGGACAGTGTCTGAGACTCACCTGTGAAATCGCTGCCCCGGATCCCGCCCCGTCCAGCCCCTCCTGCGGACTCAGGGCGTGTGTGCACACCGCGGCCTCTCAGCATCGCTGGCCCCTGTCCGACGCCTTCCATTGTTTACCTCCTGGCGTTTGTTTTTTAAAAAACAATCTTTGGAGTGTCGCTGGTCTTGTCCGACCTGGAGAAGGACGAGGTTGGGAGAAAGCCAAAGGAAGCCCTTTCTCAGAAGCTACGGAATCTGCAGCAGCTGTCCCCTCCCCCTCCCTCTCCCCTCCGGGGGGCCTGCTAGGCAGTGGCCTGGGCAGGGCCGAGAGGAGCCCCCAGTAGCCCCGTTCCTGCTGCTCATCCCCTGCGCCCTCTGACCTCCTGCACCGTCAGACGGTGTGAGCGCAGAAAGACAGGCTCACAGCGGCTGCTCTGTGCTCTGTGTGCCCAGATCGGCTCCTACTTCGGCAGCGTGTTGACCACCGTGGACATCGACAAAGATTCCCACACGGACGTGCTCCTGGTCGGGGCGCCCATGTTCATGGGGCCCGAGAAGGAGGAGCAGGGGAAGGTGTACGTGTACGCCCTGAACCAGGTACCGGGAGCGGGGTCTGGGGAGACTGGGACAACCTCTTCCTTTCTTTCCATTTCAAACAGATCATGTGGCGCTACCTTTGCACTCATGTCGGGAAAAGGAGCAAAAACGGTGTCAGGGCCCACTACCCCCTCTTCTCTGAAGGACGGTTTACAGTCCCCATAAAGGGTTCAAACCACTAGGCATTTTCTGCTTTGAAAGTGTGAACTAGTCTTTTCAAAGAGAATATATAGGATGGAGAACATACATAGCTCACAGGCAGCCATTCATGAGCTCGGGCCTGGAGGTGTGGGGGGCCCGGGGGTGTGGGGGGCCTGGGGGTGTGGGTGGCCTGGAGGTGTGGGTCGCTTGCAGCGGGGGTGGGGTGTGGGGGAGGTGTTAGGAATTTCAGGCAATGACATCAAATCTTTGTAGCAAACAAACTGAATTTGTGGTCTTTGGAAAATCTCGCTGGGCTGGAGTGAGATTCTGACTTTAGACACTATTTGTAGGTGAAATAATTATTGATTGATTTATTAGAAGAGTTATTTTTGTTTTGGTTTTTTGCTGCTTACAGCAAAGTCAGTATTTATTTATTTGGCTTTTAAATTTTCAGAGTCTCTTCATATTAATTATTTAACTCACAAATTATTTCTTTTCCTTTCTATCATTTTTTCTTTCTTTCTTCTGCCAATGTTTTGAGATCCTGTCCTGTTTTTCCCCAGAAAGTATGTTCCTTTCTGCCCGTTGCTCGTTCGCTGGGCCGTTACCGAATTTTTGGCTTTTTCACTCTGGAGAGGTTTGGGGAAAGCTTGCTTTTGAACAGAGGGGGTCCTCCATGAGGGGGAATCTATGGAGACTTTTCAAAGGAGCTCAATATTGGGGGGAGAGAGGGTGGTGACATGGATGGAGGATTTCCAAAGTCAGTTCTTCGGCTTTAAGAACACACATTGGGCGAGCCCCTCACCCTTTTGCATTAAGAGGACCCACTAAAACCCTCAGCCGGCTTCTTCCCCACCGTCTACACTGGCTCTCAGGCTGGGTTGTAAGACATTTTATAGCCTGCACGGTGAACGCTCACATGGTGTTTTCCTGGCGGCGCTTTCCTGTGTACTCCCCACCCCCACCCATATCAGATGAGCCTGGAGCCCGTGGCGCAGACCTGCTGCTCGTCTCTGAAGCACGCCGCGTGCACCAAGAAGAACAAGAATGAGCCGTGCGGGGCCCGCTTCGGCACGGCCATCGCGGCCGTGAGGGACCTCAACCTGGACGGCTTCAACGACGTGGTGATCGGGGCGCCCCTGGAGGACGACCACGGGGGCGCCGTGTACATCTTCCACGGGCGCGGCCGGTCGCTGCGGAAGCAGCACGCGCAGGTGGGTCCCCCAGCCCCTCCCCGCGATGCCCGATGCCCGGTCATGCCAGGCCCCGCCTCTCCTGGGCGATGAGATTTCTCATTCTCTTCGGAGTTATCTTTTTTTATTGTTGTTATGGATGTCAGAGAGGAAGGGAGAGGGAGAGAAACATCAATGATGAGAGAGGATCATGGATCGGCTGCCTCCTGCCCGCCCCACACTGGGGAGCGAGCCCACAACCTGGGCCTGTGCCCTGACCGGGAATCAAAGCGGGACCTCCTGGTTCCTAGGCCGACGCTCAACCCCTGAGCCACGCCGGCCGGGCTCCTAAGTTACCTTTATAGAAGGATTGCTTTGTATTTCATCCTTTTATCCAGGTTTTGTTGTTGTTGTCATTTGCCAGTTTCCATAATCTGGTCTTTTAAATGGTACAGAACAAAAAACAAAAAGAAAGCACAGACAAAACAAAAGAGCACTTTTTAAAAACATGTTTTTGTTGATTTTAGAGAGAGAGGAGGGGAGTAGGTTAGAGAGATAGAACACTGATGAGAGAGATCAATCGGCTGCCTCCTGCATGCCCACCACTGGGGACCAAACCCGCAGCCCTGATATGTGCTCTGACCAGGAATCAAACCAGTGTCCTCTTGGTTCATGGGTTGATGCTCACCCACTGAGCCACACCAGCCGCGCAAAAGAGTACGTTTGAGCACTGCTACTTACCACCCGCAGTGTGCCTGGTCCCCAGAGGGCACCGCTTTCCGAAGGAGAGATGGCAAATCTGGGACTTTTCAGTTGGAAATGGGAGGATGAGGGGTCCCCAAGTTTAGGGAGGGTCCGTCTGTCCTGTCTCCTTACCATCAGGTTCTATCAGAGCTGAGTCAGGAGGTGCAGGTGACAAACGTTACGTGTGGGGACGCATAGAAGTCAGCCTTAGAGTCCGCTCCGCCTTCGTCTGTGCCCTCCCCAGGCGGTGGGCACGTGTGAGGGGAGTGAGGGAGCGAGTCTATGGTGAAGGAGGCGGCAGACGGAGGGTGTGTTTGGAGGAATGTGCCCTTGGTCCCCGGCCCCAAGTTTAGTGAACACACTGACCCTGACACAGGTCCCTCCCCCAGCTGCTCGAGTGATGCGTTTTCAAGGTTCCCGCGCCTTCCAGCTCCCCGGGTGGCGGGAGCCAATCGCAGTGTTTCCTTGGGGTCAGACAGGATGAGGTTCTGTCACCCCCCTCGCGCTGGGGTCAGAACCCGAGGTGACCGCGAAGTGACCGCGCTGTAGGAAGCCCGTCCTCGGGGAGCACCTGAGCGAGGTCCCCTCTCCCCACCAGGGCGCTGGGGCAGGTGTCACAGCTCCTGCAGGGGGATGTGGGTTAACCCGCCCTGTCCTCAGATTTATTCTTCTCCAAGAGGCTCTTCTGACGTAACGCCTCTCGGCGGGGTTTCCGCAGCGCATCCCGTCGGGTGGAGACGGCCAGACCCTGAAGTTCTTCGGCCAGTCCATCCACGGGGAGATGGACCTGAACGGCGACGGCCTCACCGACGTGACCATCGGCGGTCTGGGCGGCGCCGCCCTCTTCTGGTGCGTATCCGAACCCGCCCACTGAGTCCGTTACTCACACGGAGTTCCAGCGCTGAGGGGATCGGGCGAACATCAGACCCAGTGTTCATTTCCCTCTGCGCTCCATCACTCAGATACAATACGCAGTTTCATAGGCTGCAGAAGTCAATAATCATATTACAGGAACAAGAAGAATCAGCCCTGGATTTGCTCAGCCTTTAAAATGCCTGCATCCCCAAAGCGATTAACTGTAGAACCTAGTTTGTGGTCAGGTACACATGTTAGTGTCATTGAATTTAGTACTCAAATAACTTATTAATTAATAGCATTAAGAACCCTAGGTATTTTTTCAGTTAAAAACAATTTCAAAAAGGATTCTATTTGAAAAAAACTGGTTAAAATATATGAAGAATAACATTAATGAGAATTTTGTATGAAAAATTTTAAAAAGACCTTATTAAGAAATACGAAGGAAAGATTTAATGAATAAAATTATACTTAGGATCTGAGCCTTGATGGAAAGTTCACAGGTTGGTTCTTCCACAGTGACCACTAGCTTAATGCGGGTGGAAGCAACCACAATGGCATTTCCCCCAGAATGTACTAGAAGAGCAGTGAAGAAAACTGAGAAAGACCGAGTGAAGATGGAGACCTAAAAGTCATGGCTTTGTCGTAATTTAAGATACAACTAATGGTCAAATGAAAAGCGTATACTAAACCACACACAGATAATAACCATTTTGTTAAGAAATGTTTTAGCCATACATGTCACTATATATACAGTTACTATGCATATAACTGTATACAGGTGCTAGGCATATAACCGTGTATAGTTGTACATAGAACTATCTACAGGTGCTAGGCATATAACCGTGTATAGTTGTTGTACATAGAACTATCTACAGGTGCTAGGCATATAACCGTGTATAGTTGTTGTACATAGAACTATCTACAGGTGCTAGGCATATAACCGTGTATAGTTGTTGTACATAGAACTATCTACAGGTGCTAGGCATATAACCGTGTATAGTTGTTGTACATAGAACTATCTACAGGTGCTAGGCATATAACCGTGTATAGTTGTTGTACATAGAACTATCTACAGGTGCTAGGCATATAACCGTGTATAGTTGTTGTACATAGAACTATCTACAGGTGCTAGGCATATAACCGTGTATAGTTGTTGTACATAGAACTATCTACAGGTGCTAGGCATATAACCGTGTATAGTTGTTGTACATAGAACTATCTACAGGTGCTAGGCATATAACCGTGTATAGTTGTTGTACATAGAACTATCTACAGGTGCTAGGCATATAACCGTGTATAGTTGTTGTACATAGAACTATCTACAGGTGCTAGGCATATAACCGTGTATAGTTGTTGTACATAGAACTATCTACAGGTGCTAGGCATATAACCGTGTATAGTTGTTGTACATAGAACTATCTACAGGTGCTAGGCATATAACCGTGTATAGTTGTTGTACATAGAACTATCTACAGGTGCTAGGCATATAACCGTGTATAGTTGTTGTACATAGAACTATCTACAGGTGCTAGGCATATAACCGTGTATAGTTGTTGTACATAGAACTATCTACAGGTGCTAGGCATATAACCGTGTATAGTTGTTGTACATAGAACTATCTACAGGTGCTAGGCATATAACCGTGTATAGTTGTTGTACATAGAACTATCTACAGGTGCTAGGCATATAACCGTGTATAGTTGTTGTACATAGAACTATCTACAGGTGCTAGGCATATAACCGTGTATAGTTGTTGTACATAGAACTATCTACAGGTGCTAGGCATATAACCGTGTATAGTTGTTGTACATAGAACTATCTACAGGTGCTAGGCATATAACCGTGTATAGTTGTTGTACATAGAACTATCTACAGGTGCTAGGCATATAACTATGGCGGGGGTGAAGGGCGGGCAGCACCAGGTCCGGCATAAAGGCTTTGGCCAGATGCGGGGTTCCCCTGGGCAGGGATCTGCACAGCCCGGGTGCCCCTGAGAACCTGTGGGCCCTGAAAAAACCTGCCAAAGGAACCCTGAAAATCTGGAGCAGGTACTCTACATGATGGCCTCACCATCCCAGGGTTCCCCAGCAGCTCTGCGCTTCCTGTAGACAATCAGGTGTTTAAAAAATAAAGCAAATAAACAGGAGGGAGGGAGGAAGAGAGAGAGAGAAAGAGAGATTAGCCCAGTCCTGTGGGTTTGCCCTAAAAGGCCTCCCTTCCACTCCTGCCCTCTGCCCTCAGCTGGTGGGCCTGGGGTTGCAGAGGATGGAGAGCTGTGCCACCTGCTCCCAGAGCCCTTGACTCCACTGGGGTGGCCCTGGCTGCTGAGAGTCAGACATTCGGGGACACCCCTGCAGCCCAGTCTCTGCCTCCCCACACACAGTACTCTCCAAGGCTTTTAAAAAACTATCTACAGGTGCTAGGCATATAACCGTGTATAGTTGTTGTACATAGAACTATCTACAGGTGCTAGGCATATAACCGTGTATAGTTGTTGTACATAGAACTATCTACAGGTGCTAGGCATATAACTATATACAGTTGTACATAGAACTATGTGCAGTTGTTACACATAGAACTATGCATAGGTGCTAAGCATATAACCGTGTACAGTTATTGAACGTAGAACTATGTGCAGTTGTTACACATAGAACTATGCCCAGGTGCGATGCACGTCACTATAGTATAAGGGGACAGTGATGTATAACCAGAGAGGAGAGTAACCTGAAAGGTGGTGCCTGGGGTGGGGGGCGGGGGGGGCGCAGCCTGGGCCGCCAGAGGCTGTGCCCTTGGGCAGGCTCCTTAAAGCCAGTCACTCGTGTGGGAGCAGAGAGGACGTACATTTCACTTTCATTTGAACCGTTGGTGCTGAATTAAGTGAGCATATCGCCCTCCTGGAGATGGGGAGACACGGGGAAAGTGAGGTGCTCCCGGGGCCCAGAGGCCAGGCGAAATGCCCGGCAGCAGGGAGAGGTTGGCCCCTTCGGGAGGAAGTGGGAGAGCAGCTGGAGTGGGTGTTTGTGGCAAGGCTCCTGGTCGTGCTGGGCGCCCTGTCCCCTCTCCCGGGTGAGTCCCTGCTCTGTGAGCTCCAGGAGGGGTGTATGACGGCGGTGCCCAGGCAGGTGAGGGTGAGGGAATGCCCGCCCTGCCTGTGCTGCTTCCCACGGCCTGCAGCTCAATCAGCCAGTCACGGGGCGTGTGTGGGTGGCGCGCCCTGAGCTCCCCAGGTCAGACTTCGGGCCGGCATCTCCTGCCCTTGACAGACAAAGCCCAGGACGGTGCCCAGGTACCCGGTGTCCTCGGAGCATCAGCCGCCGTCTGGTCGGGACCAGGCTCTGCAGAGAAGCGGGGCCATGGGGCCGTGGGGTCCACGGAGAGCCACTCCCCCCATGCTCTCTGAATCCCTGCGTGGTGGCATCCGTCACCCGTGAGGACGTGGGAGTGATCCCCGTGGTCTGGGTCTTTCCAGGGCCCGAGACGTGGCTGTGGTTAAAGTGACCATGAACTTTGAACCGAATAAAGTGAACATTCAGAAGAAGAACTGCCGCATGGAGGGGAAGGAAACCGTGTGCATCAACGCGACCGTGTGCTTCCATGTGAAGCTGAAGTCCAAGGAAGACACAGTCTACGAGGCTGGTGAGCCCGCGCACACGGCAGGTGCTGGGGGGCGGGGGGGGGTGGAGAACCCTGGGCATTCCCTGGAGACAAGGAAAGGGCTCAACAGGTATTCCAGGAGACCCTGTGTGCTGTAACATAACCGGGACCCTACCCCTCTTGAGCCAGGGCAGAGAAGAGAGGGTAGGTTCCAATCCAGTGTCTTCCTCCAGCTACTTTCTCAGGGGCTACAACCTCCCTTAGAATCAGAAACTCAACACCCTCAGAGGGTCAAAGGATCTTTAAAAAATAAAGCAAATAAACAGGAGGGAGGGAGGAAGAGAGAGAGAGAAAGAGAGATTAGCCCAGTCCTGTGGGTTTGCCCTAAAAGGCCTCCCTTCCACTCCTGCCCTCTGCCCTCAGCTGGTGGGCCTGGGGTTGCAGAGGATGGAGAGCTGTGCCACCTGCTCCCAGAGCCCTTGACTCCACTGGGGTGGCCCTGGCTGCTGAGAGTCAGACATTCGGGAACACCCCTGCAGCCCAGTCTCTGCCTCCCCACACACAGTACTCTCCAAGGCTTTTAAAAATGACACTGAAATGCGTTCAGTCATTTGGTTGTCTCTCACTACCCCCCCTGCCAGCCTGGTCGCCCCACACAGCCTGCTTGTTCAATAATTTGGTCATCCCTCACTAACCCCCCTGCCGACCTGGTCATAGGCAGCCATCTTGTGAGGGCGTGAGGTTAATTTGCATATTACCTCTTTATTTATATAGGATAACATAATCAATATTCTAAGCACGTAAATCCAATAAGCACAAACATGGTCAGCAAGTTAGGTGACATGGAAGTGAGTGTGTGTGTGTGTGTGTGTGTGTGTGTACATAAATATCCTATATAATAAATAGGTAATATGCAAATTGACCGTCACGCCCTCACAAATGGCTGCCTACAACCAGGCCAATGGGAGGTTAGTGAGGGACAGCCAAACGACTGAACAGCAGGCCTGCAGGGGAGAGCAGTTAAGGGTGACCAGGCCAGAAGGGGAGGGCAGTTGGGAGTGATCAGGGCAGCGGGGGTGCAGTTAGGCATCGATCAAGGTGGCAGGGGATTGGTTAGGGGGTGATCAGGCTGGCAGTCAGAAACAGTTGGGGCAATCAGTCAGGCAGGCAGACAGGTGAACGGTTGGGAGCCAGCAGTCCCGGATTGTGAGAGGGATGTCCCACAGGGATCGGGCCTAAACTGGCAGTTGGACATCCCCTGAGGGGTCCTGGATTGGAGAGGGTGCAGGCTGGGCTGAGAGGACCCCCCCCTCCATGCACAAATTTCATGCACCGGGCCTCTAGTTACAGAATAAGTGTGATTAAAAACATTAAAAGATAGTGAACACACAGATCAATTCTATGAGTTGCTCAAGTAATCTTCTTCGTGCTAGGTAGTGGGATATACTGAGTGACAGGGGCTTTCTGGTGACCGATTGTCCAGGAGGGCTTCCTGTCATGCTCACTGAATGAGCCGGGTCCTGTGAAAGTCAGCCCCACCTCTGTCCCCTGCTCACAGACCTGCAGTACCGCGTCACCCTGGACTCGCTGAGGCAGATCTCACGCAGTTTCTTCTCCGGGACCCAGGAGAGGAAGACCCAGAGGAACATCACAGTGCGCGAGTCAAAATGCACCCAGCACTTCTTCTACATGTTGGCAAGTAAATCGTAGCGTGTCGCGGCCCATCCCGCACCCAGAATAAAGCACAGGTGTCTGCCTCCGGGTCAGCCACACCCCCCTGTCTCCCTTCAGAGGGCACATCAGGAGTAAACTCTGTTCTGTTTGTTCGCTTACATCAGAAAGTCCCAGGTACAATCTGCTAATGTCCAAGTACAATTTATAAAACCCTCTTTCATCTCCCCTGAGCGTGGGACAGGCAGCCATGTCGTATGGAAATATTTCTCTCTTTTCTGCATCCAGCGCGGCTAGAGAGTGGTCTGGTTCCTGAGTAGGGGCTACTGGGGATTGAGAGAATGAAAGAAAGAGACAGACACAGAGATGGAAGGAAAAAGCTGGGGCCGGGTGGGACAGCCGTCCTCTGATGGAGAGACAGTGACCCAGAGCCGATACAGCGCGTTTATTTGATACGGCAAAATACCAGGGAGTTTTACTAAAGCCCAAGACTAAGGATTTGATGTGCATTCTTGAGGCTTCTTTGTCATCATCACTTCTGGGTGGGCCCAGATAATCATGTTTGTTCCTGGTGCTTGGCTGGATTTAGATAATGAACCCCACCCCCTGGTGCCTGAGCTGACGGTCAGGCTGACAACACACCTGCCTCTGGCAAGGTATGTTTCCAGGGCGTGGCTCTGCGGGCACCGCTGGCTTCAGATGACAATAATTAAAGAAATGCTCATGTGCCTTCCCAGGTGCTCTCTACAGTCGTATGGAGCAGTAATAGGCACAGTACATGGGTCAGTAGGAGGCCTGTGTCTTCATTCCTTCATTCTTCCCTCTTTCCGATGTGGTAATGGGAGGAAATGAGTGCAGCCTCTATCTTCTCTGCCATCTTGATTGGAACTTCTGGGCCTTCCTTCCTTCCTTCCTTCCTTCCTTCCTTCCAACTTGAAAACATATACCTTCTATTGGCCTTGTCTGTCGAATGTGGATGGCAAGTGATGAATGCCCTGAGTGGACCGCTGGGCCATTGCTTTCTGAGGTCACTGCTTGTCCCTAACTATGGCTTTCATCCTTTGACGTGAACTTGAAGGGGAAATACCTGGTGTTTTCTGTCCTCTGTAGGCTTTGTGCTGCCTAAGTCTCTTTCTACTGTAGTGGAGGGGGAGGCTGTGGAAAGTACGTTATTAATCTCTAGAACAGCCGTGGGCAAACTATGGCCCGCGGGCCGTATCCGGCCTGTTTGAAATGAATAAAACTAAAAAAAAAAAAGACCATACCCTTTTATGTAATGATGTTTACTTGGAATTTATATTAGCTCACACAAACACTCCATCCATGCTTTTGTTCCGGCCTCCGGTCCAGTTTAAGAACCCATTGTGGCCCTCGAGTCAGAAAGTTTGCCCACCCCTGACCTAGAAACAGCTGGTCAGCTCGTGTGAACCGTTTCAAATGTGTTTTCTTGGGTCGCCATTTATGCAGGGAGCATTCCCAACGAAGGGCAAGAGTTTTTGAAATATTTTTTTAAAAAAAACACAGTGCAGAATGGATGCAATGAGAAAGCACTGTTTTTAGTAACCAATATTGAAACATAGAGACTTTCCTCCGTGATTTTCATGTCAATACTCCCCAGGACATGTATCAAGTCAGCGTATTCCGTCAGTACTAAGATCCATCCATGACCGGGAGGCCACGCCTGGCCCTTGCATGGCTCCACCAGGACGAGCACTGGGAGCTGGGGCTTAGATGCGATGGGGAGGCGTGAGGCCAGGCGAGGAGCCGCCTCCAACCCACTGAGAGTGGCAGTCGTGTGTGTTTCTCCAAAATGCAGTGTCTAGTAGTGGCGCTAAAAGGCATGAACTAGTTCCCTGATTTCCGAAATTCCTGAGGATCTCAATGGATGCGCGGACATTTGTTCTGGACTCAGCCAGCTGGAATTTGTGTCCGTGTGGTTCGGGCAAAGTTGTTTAGTGCCTAAGGGGTTCAGTTTTTCATCTGTAAAGTAGTGGCCAATGTGTATAAAGCTCATAATTGTGGACAGGCCGTAAATGATGTTGCTACTGATGGGAGTCTAAACAGTATTGATCGTGTTAGCACCATTTCCTTGTCAGTCACATCGTACAATTCCTACAATTCGAGGTACATAGGACACTAATGAAATGCGACCCAAGTTAAAAGGAGTTTGCTGCTCTGTTTTGGGGAGACTTTCCTAGAAGTGTTACCTAGTGGCTTCTTGCTCAAGGTCGCAAGAGGAACGGCATTGTTATGGAAGTAGCTCTGAGGGTACGTCCCACATGGTGAGGTTCAACCACCCGCAGGCCCCTCTGAGGTGGGGGGAGCAGCTGGTCACCACCGAGGCCTCTGCCTGCCGGCTGTGGCCCCGTCCAGGCTGAGGGCACCCGTCTCCAGCAAAGCAGCCTGATGAGGGCAGGGACAGGAGGACGTCCTGTGAGGCTGGTCCCGGGCAGGAGAAGCCGCCATAACAAGGTCAGGACACCCAGGAGATTCGATACCAATGATCCGTTTTATGTTTCGACCTCCAGGACAAGCATGACTTTCGGGACTCTGTGAGAATAACCCTGGACTTCAATCTTTCCGATCCGGAAAATGGGCCCATTCTTGATGATTCTCTGCCAAACTCAGTACATGAATCTGTAAGTCGTTTTTTTAAAAATTTGGAATACCTACTTGTGAATATATTAAGGAAAAACTTGAAATACATAAACACACACACACACACACACACACACACAATTGATTTTAGGGTTATATGCATGTGTGCCCGGCAAGGTACACTGTATTCCATCGTTCTAGCACAAGCATGTCGAACTCGCGGCCCAGGGGCCGCATGCCTCGTTTATTTGGCCCGTGTTAGCCTTTGAGTTTGACATGCTTGTTCTAGCAGGTGCCTACACACACACCAAAAAAAACCAACAATACCTAAATCAATTATGTTTTTTAAAAAAATCTAGACTTCTGTAGACTATTCCCAACTTTTTAGAACTCTCTCTTGTTGGAGATTAAAGGAATTATATGACACCTGTATTTACCTCCTGAGTTTAGGACGAATTGAAAGAAAGACATGGATTGGCCTGTTGGAGCTCCCTTTTATGACGAATGAACATTAAAACACTTGACCTTGGGCCTTTGAAACTATTCTGGTCTGATGGGTGTTCTCCTACTAAATGGACATAGGCCACAGGTAACCACAGGGTCACCCCCGGCTCAGCAATGGCGGCCTTCTTCCTGGGTCCCTCGTGACACGTGCAGGATGGAGGCTGGAGCTGAGAGCGTGCTTCCCACGGGCACGCCACGGCCCAGACAGGAGGTGGGGAGCGCTGACCTGTGTCCACCCAGGTCCCGGCCCCCACACTCAGAGTCCCCGGCCCCACACTGAGAAAGAGCAAGTGCAGGAGGGGTTCCCAGGGGGGCCGAGCAGAGAACACTGGGGACAGGGCCTTGGTTCCCCCCCCCCCTTGGGTTCCTGTCTTCACTCTCCTCCCTCCAAATCTATCAACTGAGTGTTGCACATGCACCAGGCTCAGAAACGAGGGAGGGGTCAGCAGAGTGTGTGCCATGGAGGGGACCCCCCAGTGCCGAAGGGACTTCTGCCTGGTTTGGGGGGTCAGGGCACTCCCCGGAGTTGAGAGCTGTGGGACAGGATATCCGTCCTGTCCAGGCGAGTGAGGGAGCGGCGTTCTGGGCAGAGGGACATGTGCAGAGGTCCTGGGGCCGCAAGAGAACTACACTGACCTCGGCCCTGACCTGCAGCTGCCGATGAAGGGCAGGGGAGGGCCATGTGGGCGGAGGCAGGAGGCCCAGGTAGAGCCAGGTCATCGTACCTTTGTCCCCTCAGGGTGCCAGAGCCCAGCTGGGAAGCTGTTCGTTTAGTTCACGGAGGAAATGAGGCTGGACCCGTGGGGGCCGAGGAGGGCAAGAAGGAGGGCGAGGACAGACTCCGGAGGTTTGGGAGGGCAGAAAGGACCGCCCTGGTGATGCACTGGGCAGAGAGGAAGGGCTGTGTGAAGGGGGTCAGGAAAGCTCCCAGTTACATGGTGTGACCATTGCCCACCCCGACTGGACTCTGTGATCCTCCTAAGGACTTGGTTCTTTCTAACAGAGAATCTCACGGTCGCAGTTGAGTGTGAAACTGTGCTCTCCTAGATTTAGACCTCGGTGTAAATGGTTTTATAGGACCATTCTACTCCAAATAATAATAATAATAATAATAAT